TGGTAAGTTTGAGGCCAGCCTGGACTACGGGCCAAGTTCAAGACCACCTTGTATTACACAAAAAAACTATCACAAATAGAAGCGTTTTAGTACACTGTCATTAGGTTCTTATTCATGTTTAATTTCTGGTAATGCAAAATTCTTTATCAAGACATACCCAATAATCAGCATTGCTTCTTTTAACTAAAGGTCACCCAGAAAGGGTGAGGAATACAAAAAAAAAAAAAAAAAAAGCCTTTTAAAACACTATTGCTAGCATCATTATTTTTTCATAAGCTGCTTTTATTCTATTCTTTGTACATATTTCATCAATGTTTTGGATTAGACATTCAGTCCATCAAAAGATGGTTATTAGGCGCCCTGTAACTGAGTTGGCTGGACTAGCCCTTGCCTGAGCAATGAGCAGTACTTACCTGAGTTTTCATGACCACCGTTTTATCCCCTAATTCTTCCTGATTATGGCTATGTGCTTTGTATAGAAAAGGAAAAACAGCTGAGGAACTGAGCTTAGATTATTTTTGTTCTACTGTCTGAAATTATCTTGAATCATTTTGGTGACATTTGCAATTTCATATGTGTCAACTACTCCAAGAAATAAAGTACTAAATCTCCCAAATCAATAACAAGGTGCTCAAAAGCCTTCACACAGATGTATTCATTTTAGCTTCCCTCCCATATCAATTCTCCCCTTGGCAGTGACTGCCTATTATTTCTACCCATGTATGCTTTGGCTGATGGTAGTTTGGAACTGGCCTGATTTCATTTCATACCTTACAGATTTAAAAAGAAATTTGTAGTGGAACATTCACAATAGTAATATTCCAGAGAACAGAAATTTGGAATTTGTAGGTTTTCTTTATAGAAATTCATGGATAATTTAGAGTATTTGCTGTGTAATTAATTCATTTACTCAACAGTTATGTATTGAGTCACTCTAGGTACAAAGAGTGGGGATGTAGCAGTAAAAAATGTGAATAAGACAAGATACAGATATCTTTTACTATGGTTGGGAATCAAACTGTAAAAAAAATTGAAAGTTATTCCCTAAAATGATAAGAACATCCATTTTCTTGCTACGAACACATGTAAAAAAAGAATTGATCTCTCACCAATATTATGAAGGCTTTATTGGCTACATGACATTTGATCAGAGCACTATAGGATGAGATGTGATAGCCATCTTGAGTAGGGACTGTTGAACAAAAGCATATACAAGGGTTCTCAGACTAAGAAAAATATTTTAAAGAATTTTTAAGGCTCTCCAAGTTAGAAAGCTACAGAAAATATCCAAGAAAGGGCTGCAGAGGAGACACAATCAGGTGATTCCAACCCTCTCAGGATTTTGGTTTTTAATCACATGACCAGTGACCACTGCAGGGATTCAGGGAAAGAGTCAGACAACCCAATGTTCTTAAAAACAAACCTCACTCTGAGCCAGAGGGAAAACTGTAGCAAGATCTAGAATTCTCCCTCAGGGATCAGGGAGAGGAAGAGCTAATGTCTCTGAGTGGGGTGATGGGTTAGGCAGGGTGAAAACCCTACAGAGATGATTAGGTTGAAAGCAGGTGCAGTGTGCACAGAACAAGATTCCTTACATCCTAGGAAGCTTAGTAACAGTGGCCACAGCAGTATATTTTCGACAAACACCAATGCTAAGAGGATGTAGAAGGAAATTTCTATTCTTGTCCTCCATTTTTCTGCCAATTCTGGGTACTTTTTTTCTAGAAATATTACAGCATTATGGGATTCAGAATTCTACTGAAATAAAATCAACTGAAAGTATGATGTATAAGTTTAAAAATCATTTAAGCAATTTTCACCTACCCCATACACGTCATCAGGCTATGCAGTGGGGCACAAAGAAGACTGGATTTTGGCCACTGCATTTAGCATCTCACTGCCCAACAGTGCTCTGATGCTGTCCTCACCTAGAACAGCGGTACTCTCCAGATTCTTACAGTTCCATTCAGTGAATTGGACGGAACACCTGGTGCATATGAAAAGCTAGTGTTTATTTATGGCAAAAACAAGAATAAAAAAGGAAAAGAAGCACAAGGAAAGTGCTCAAGGAGAACAGGGTGCTTGGAAGGAAAATGCAGATGTGTCCTACAAGGCAGATGGATCCTGCAAAAACAGGAGGGCGGGGTACACAGTCAGTTGCTGCTGTCTCCTTTGATAGCTGATCCAGGTGGTCCCACTTGATCTCCTGCTAGAAGACTGGTATCAGGTTCTGAGCTCAGCTTGCTCTCCTATCAGAAGATCAATATCTGGCGCAGGTTAGTTTGTGTTCTCATGTCAGAAGACTGGCACTGGATGCAGGGCTGGCCTCGATCTCCTGTCAGGCTTGGAAGCTGCCTCTCTGTGCCCATGGTAGGTTGTGCCCAATTGTTCCAGCACGTTGCCTTGCCTCTGTACCGTAGTCACTGTAGATTTGTTCGTGAATGACACTATAGAAAACGAGAGAGCCAGGATAGTCCTTGTGGTGGTTCTGAGAGCAGGCTCTGAAGTCTGGGCTGGAATTCAACACATTCATTAGTAACATCCTAATCTAACTTGCCCAACACTCCTCACATCAGAAAAGGAGTTAATAATGGTACAGTACTTATGAGTCTCTGACATTATGTGGTTTGATACATAAAGATTATCAGTAGCTTTGGCACAGAGCAACTGCTTAAGAAACTCTATAAAGCTAGCTATTTTTATTGTATTACAGGGAAAAGGGCAAGCAGCCATTTGAGTCAGGTAAGAAGATTCATAGGATGCTTTATATATTATAGTTGGCCTTCAATTAGTGCTAACTTAAAGAATTGACATGTTTTATATAATAAAATAGATTTTAAAAGAATTTATTACTTGCTGTGAGCATTTTAATGATATTCCATTGAATCCTTTTCCAACCCCCAAATGAGATACCTTTACCACCATTTACAAATGGTTGTCATAAGCCTTCAATATAACAGTTCTTTGCCCAAGATTTCATACAATGGTAAACTGTCGAACTGAAAATTTAAGTTTAACCTAATTTACTACAGAGGGTTTAATATTAACTTCTATAATATATTTAATTCTTTACCTAAAGGTGCTGCTGAATTTACCTTTTGGTTGTAATGTATTCTCTCAATCAGTGGATACTAAAAATACACTGCTATCAAGTCAGTAACATTTTTACAGCATTGTATCTGAACATTTTTATTTTACAAACTGATGCTTTTCATGAGAAACAAATATATAGGAGAATAAAAATCAGTTACAGGTTTTTCCAGTTAACATAGATAATTATCATAAGCATTTTCTGGAAATATTTTGAGACTTTTTTTCTCCCAGTGCATTGATGCATGGGTATGGGTGTGTGTAAAGCTATATTTTTATGACAAGAGAAATGGGCTCAGTCTGTAGATATTTTTAATTATCAGTGTATTTCAAAATTCTTCATGTTTGGTATGGTCATTCTTAGCACAGTTCATAACATGTAGTAAAGGTTCATGAATTCTGATTACAATTGTCACTGTCATTGTAACTATAACAGCTTGCCTTTTGATGAGGCTACAATAATTTGATACCCAAATAATGTGTGAGAATATTTTTTAACACACTTTTACCTTTTCCTTGCTCTCTGTTGCTTAATTTTCATTTTTTGCTAATTTTTAAGATTAAAAATGGAATTATGTTGTTCTATTTGGCACTTGTCTTACTAATGGTTAAGCATTAATCGTTTTTTGTTTTGTTTTGTCTTTGTTGTTTTTCGTTTTAGCTTTTTGAGACAGGTTCTTGCTACGCAGTTCAGGCTGGGCCTTGAGCTCACTTTGAAGCCCAAGCTGGTCTCAAACTTGCAACGATCCTCCTGCCTCCACCTCCCAAGTGCTGAGATTATAGGCATGTGACATCACGACTGGATGCTAATCATTTTTTTGTTTTTTTTGGTTTATTTTTCAAATTTTAAATTGTTTATTCTTCTTTTACTTTGCTATTTTTTCGTGGTGTGTAAGAACTCTATGTTGTGACTTTTATATATTAAGTGCATATTACAGGTATTTCACCAGTTTGTGAGTTGATTATTTAAGTTTATGAATTATTTATTAGGTTTTTCTTTAAACAAGTTGAAAATTAAGTAATTAAGTTTAATAATCCTTTTGTCTTATGTTTTGGTATTTTACAAATGTCTTTTACCTATTCATGCAAAATAATACATTTATTTTGTGTTGATGGAGATCGAACTTGTGGATTTAAGTGCATTGTAGGCAAACGCTCTACCACTGAGCCACATTCACACATAACATGACATTTTCGATATTAAAAACTGGCACATATTTTTAAAATCTGGGGACTACTGAGTAACATAAAAGTCAAATGGGACATGAATCTGTACTTGTGGTGTCAATGGGGAGAAGTTAAAAGGTTCTTTGCTTCTGGGAGAGTTTCAGTGGCTTGCGGATCTTTAACAAGTTTCTTGCTTGTCAAAATCTGACAATGTGAGGTTTTTTTTTTTTTTTTTTTTTTTTTTTACTTTTCTTTTGTTTTCTTGAAAGTGTAGTGTCTTGTTTTACAGATAATCCACTACAAAGTATAGTACAAAAAGCATCCACTCATCTTGGTAGTACAGTTGAGACTTCTGAGGCAGGGGGTTAGTATGTTTCGAAAACTGGATAATAGCGGTGGCTACATGCTTCCAAATCTTCGGCAATGTTTATAATGAAGAGGAAACTATTCTCACTTCTCAAAAAATCATGCAACCTTAAGTGTATAAATCCTATGTGTATCTTGTTTGCAGACTTGAAAAAATACTGAAAAAATGTTCAAATGAAACTCTGTGCTATTTTAGTAACTCAACTTTAGGAAAGTGGCTTACTGAGTTCCACAATAAGAAGTCATTCAGTGAATTATCTGTGTTTTAAAATTGATCAATTTTGAAAGAAATACCTTCTCCCTCTACTTACAGAGATGCATGCTTTAACGAACACTTAAAACCGACACTTACCTGAAAATATCTTTTTCTTTTCTAGTTTTGTTCCTAACCAGTCTGGTATCATAAATGGCTACCAATGGCAATACACTTGTAAGTATCCTCTGAGACACCCTGGGCTGTAGACACGTCAGATAGATGAAGAAGTGAAATAGTAAACAAGTTGACTTGTGTTTGAATCTCTATTTATTTCCTTCCATTTCATTAGCCATAATGGAATAAAATGGCCCTATTTTTATCTTCCAAGTTCATATAGTCACTAAGAACTTACGAATTCTGATTATTTAAGATCAAGGAGTATAATCATGTACTGAACAAAAAATTATCTCTATATTGTAAAGAAATGCCAGCTATGGATGGTATTAGTACAACTTCTCAGGCACCCACTATTGTAAAAATTGTGTTTAATTACATTGAAATTGCAGAGTTTAAAAAATAATTTTGTGGCCATAGATTTGTCTAAGATAGGTATGCGAATTGCACAAATGTATTATCTATATTAGATAAGAAAATTAATGCAAGGAAAATTTAACAAGTTTATTTTATTTTTATTATTAAGCTTATTGGTATAATTTAGATATACATAATGATCACATTTATCCCAGGGAACTGTACGTGTGCATGACATGTCTTGGTTCCTGTTTTTTTCTCATTCTCCTTCCCTCCCTTTAACCCTCCTTATTTACAAAGCTTTGTTTCCATTTTATTGTTTTCTCATTTTTTATTTTTCCTTCCTACCTTCCTTCCTTCCTTCTTTCTTTTCCCTTTCTACCCTCCCCAGTTTATTTTAGTCATATGGAATTCCTAATAGAAAGGGATGTGGAGTGGTATGGGATTGTGTAGTGTTCATCTTTTGGCAAATCTAATGACTTCATGATGCAGGCATAGGACAGTTTGTGAGTAAAGCTAAAAGCTCAGAGCAAAACCAGAAGTGATGCTTCAGGTGAAGAGCACAGACTTCTGCCAAACTGGGAATGGGGACAATGGTTTCCTGGTAAGAATTAGACAATACCTGCCAAGGCAGGTTTCAGTAATAGTGGCGGAGGAGAGGAGTTAACTGGACAGCTCCTGGAGAAAACATTTTACTAAAAATCAGGGCAGCTGATAAATTCCCTGCTTGGCTTGCTGACAGTTTCAAATCCCAGAAATAGAGAAAGCAGTGAATGTACTTTAAATACGGTGATAATTTTGAATAAAGGAGAAAAGCTTGTTAGTTATGAAAAATAATAAAAGTTTTGAGAGTCAAAAATGCAAAAATCTAATAATAAAAATGAATTAGAGTCATGTATTGTTAGAAATTTGTCATCTAAATTGTGGAAAAAAGGAAGGTGTGATTTTTAAAAATTAATGGTTGGGTATATTTTGATAATAGAATGCAAGTCATTACAATGATGATGAATAAGAGGAAGAACTAGAAGAATAAATGAGGCTGGAATAAGAGACTTGTTTTTGTAAAAGCAAATTTGCAGGATAATAAAAGAAAGTCTTATGGTCAATGGCAATGTAAATGCATATCACAGATCTATAAAAATAGGAAGAAGGAAAAATGCACAGAGTTTAAAATTTCATGTGAAAATTTTCAAAGAAAAATGTATATGTGCTTCTAAGCATATGTGCATGTGTTGAATATGCACAGAACACAGAAATGAAAGAAAGCATTAGAATTGTCAGACCCTTTGAAAACTGTGCAGTGTTTAATACTTGCATTACCTCACATTTTCCAATGAAAGAATCTGATTTTCTAATGGGAAGAAGCTCATCTTATGTGTTTAAAAAGAAATGGAAATTAAGACAATAAGAGAGCATGTAAGCACTTTAATGAATTCAGTCATCCATTGAGATGCTCATTTAATTTCCACCTAGATTCTATCTTGTATCGAGATAGGAACTGGAGGTTTAATTGAATTTAGAGAAAGTAAAATCTTCACATCTTAAAAAAGGCTTTAAGCTAAGTTTTAGACTAAAGATCGCAGATCTTATCACCATGGAACTGACATGACCCATATCTCCCCCAATCTAGAGCCATTACTGCTGCACCATATAACCTATTTCCACTGGTCTTGGGCACAAATGGATTTTGTGAGTGGAAACTGGCTATTTATGGACCATTCTCATTTATCCACCCTCTAGACTCAATCAGCCCAGCTCCCCTTGCGTGTGTGTTTACCTGTTATTTCTCTCTCATAGCCATCAGTGTCTGGGCAGGACTGCTTCAAATCTCTCTTAAACATTTCTTCCAGCTGCTTTTGAGTTACCCTACTTCATCCTTCCATTCAGAAAATTAGTTGCATTTTCAGCTTCCATTTGTTCCCTTGAAAACACGTGGCACAGGAGACCTGCTTTTGTGCTAGGTAATTTCAGTGTACTTAACACGTGTGACCCAGTCCCATCTCAAATGACAGTTCATTGACACTGAACTAACATTTCCTGAGCCACGGGACTGAGCACTCTGCTTGGTGGTGGAGAACAATGGTTAGCATCTTGCCATCTTGTAGTATTTGAAAGATACTTTTCATGCTCCTAGCCTGATAGTTACTGATACTGCTGCAGTAAATGATGCTCAGAATTTTAAACTAAATTATAAGTATGAAAGATTTTATTATATGTAATATTGGCCTTTTTTTGGTTGTTAAAATGAGTTATTTGCTCCCTGGAAGTATATTTTTGTTTCTTTAAAGGAAAAGTTAAAATTTTCTTAATTAAATCTGAGTATAGAGCCCAAAATTCACCAAGTTCTGCTTCTATATCTTAAATTTTCTCCATTCTTACAACCTTACCTGTCTCTTTCCTATTTTCACTGGACTTTTGCCTCTGCATTTGTACCCCTCAATCCACTTGTCATGCAACTCCAAGGGTGAATTTTCTTAAATGCAAATTTGATTTACCTGCTTATGTTGTCTCAAAGGCTGTCCTTGACCTTCACAGAAACTTTGTTTAAACATAAGTTAAGAGGTCCTGTGTGCTTTGTCAGTCACTGGTATAGTGACTTTACCCTCCATGCTATGGTTTATGCATGATGGTTCAAATTTGTCTTGCTGTATCAAATCCTATGTCTGGGTCTTTATCTGTCAAGTCTTTGATGCGATCAATTCATAGGCTGCATTCTGTGACTCCTACTTCTGGGTAATTTGATTCTTTCAATTGTGCTTTGGTTGTACTCCATTTTAACACTCATCTGCAGACCTCATTATCTTTGTTTGGTTGTGTCTTCCATATTTGATGGAAGTTGTAAGAGCTTGTTTTCCATTGGACTTCTGGTCTTGGCACTGAGTAATTGAAAAAGAAGTGACTGTTGAATAAACAAAAGCCATATTTTAGAGACTGTAGTCTGATGGACAGAATTAATGGAAATGTTTTTAGGATCTGGATCATAGTTTCTTGAGAAGTCTTCAACATAATTATTAGATTTGGTATAGTTCCTAAACATCTTTAGGAACCCACTTAGTTATCCTTATTATTAATAAGGAATTCATTCCAGGCATTGTACTATGGTGATAATAAATTATTATAACCTAAATCATTATTGCCTCATTTTCTTTAACAACTAGTTTTTCATTAAAATGAATGAATGAAACAATTAATTGATGTAGAATATTATGAGTCTTCAAGGCTCAATTAGAAAGAACTCTGATCTTAGATTTTAGTAATAATATTTTATCCAAGAAGAGAAAGCAACCTTGCTTTAAGGATGACAAAGATCACAAGTGAGACAGATATTCTCTCTCATTATTATTCATAATTCTTTTATCCAAAGCACCTGAAAGTTCTTTCTTTGTAAGATGGCTCTAGTAGAGAAGAAATGTAAGAATTATCCCAGGCCAAACCTTTATGATGGTGTTTTTTTTGAAGGGTCTTTAAAAAAATTTTTTTTATTATTATTTAAAGAAAAAGAAACAAAAAAGACATGGAGAAAAAAAGGGTAGAAATAATACAGAATTACAGAAAAATAAACAGTAAGAAATCACTAGTTGATAAGTTACATATTATCATCTTAGAAATAGTTGTTCAGGTTACAAAATTTGAGCATACAAAATGACATTCATATAGTGACACTGCCAACAGTTTTGCTCAATGATCCAACAAAAACTTAGTAATATGGTTATCAGTCCTACACACTTGTTTTTTTATCTTAAAGAGAGTAAAATTAAATATAACAAAGCAGTTCATAAAGAAACAATTTAAAGAAATACAGATTTCAAAGCAAGTCCACTGGAGAGCTTCATTCTCTATCTTATTGTCCCTAGTTTTCTTCCAAATAGTTGTCCCCATCTTCACACACATTGAATACATACTGCATATTATAGAACTAATCAAATCATTACAGGATGATGAAGGCTTTTTAGGTCTTCAAATCTGACATTTGGGAAGTCAATAATGACTACCATAATGTCTCTCATTCACTTCATAGTAGCTGACATTGAACTTAAGAGATAGACTAATATCACTCTGAATAGTGAATAATAGTATTGCTAGATTTTATATCATAATGTTACAGAATTAGCATTGGGTTTCTTAGTGTCTCTTCTTCAGAGTATCTGTTCATTACATCATGCATTATATAATCTGTTCTCATAAATAGTTTAAAAATTCTTCCATATGTGAATTTTTACATGTATATCTATCCTGTCTGTATTATAGGGAAAAACAGATCATAACAAGACAACAAAAAAAAATTCCTTGAAAAACATGCAATGAAAAAGACACATAAGACCACAATATTAGGTGATCTACCATAGTTACTACGCTTTCTCTTGATATTTTCAATAGACTTGTCCACATCATCAGGCTTAATATAGTTAAGCATAGTATTACATAGCTATTTTTATAAAGACACAACTTTGAAAACATTGTAGGACTTGAGAGTGGTTAATAATCAAAACTGGTATGGATATCTTTTACATCTTGTCATCTTCAGAGTAGTTGCCTCTATTTTTAGACTTGATACTATTAAGCATACCAAATTCGAATAAAATCAGCCAAGGCAAACCCACGGTCTAACAAACCAGCTTCAAATAATATCAGTCATAGTAAGACAATGTACGTAATACAGGGTTGAAGAGTCTTTTTAAAAATAAAATTCCTTCATTACTTAT